TTAAATGACTGTGGCTGTCGTGGAATTTGAGTGGTGATGAGGAATGAGCGTGATTATGAGGTGTTTTGAAGTGCTTTAATTTAGTTGTAGTTATTTTTGTCTTAAAAGGACAATTATTGGGCAATGAGGAATTTGTTTTTTTGTTGTTAATAATACAGATTCCCATCGTAGGGTATTTCACTTTACATTCATCATTCGTGATGTTGTTTTTTGGTCAGTTATCATTTAAGATTTTTCAATTTGTTATAAAGAGAAAAGCATTTGTAAATTGAATTTAAATGGCTTAGTTATTTTCAAAGTGTCAAGACCATTAACCTTAAATGATTTAATTAATTTTTGATTAACTATAAAGTTACCAAATTTGATAACGACATGAGGAATAAGAAGCAAACTTTCAAAGGACTCACCTTTTAAAAATTCGAAGGATTTCACACATAAAAATATTTGATGTGAAGAAGCACCTTTTCAAAATTCTAAGGATTTCACACAAAAATATTTGATGTGAAAGAAGCAAAAGCTCAGTGTGCTGCCAGTGCAAATCTATAATCCAAACAGGGCATAAACCGTTATAATCTAATGCAAGCGGCTTCCCCAGCTTCCTGACCTTAAGAACATGTATTGGAGCAGTCACATTGAAAACTTCGGACATGAGCGGTTGCTCTTCAACTGTCGCGTGTTAACATTCGACTGCTGAGGGAGTTGTTTCCCATTTTAGATTAGATATGTATTATTGTATACATGGTTCGAGAAAACATTAAAATGTCCGATATGGCAACTGATTTAACTGAATCAGATGTTGCGCATTTTGATATATAGCTAGCGATATGGGACAGAGTAACCTGTAGAGTCGACATTGCTGCGATGGTCAAATAACGGTGATTTTGAGGTTTATATTTGTCACTATATATCGGTGTGATGACTGATATATCCCTTTTCTTAAATCTAAAAAATGTGGGTGCTGTAAACCCCGTTATATACTTTTTTTAAATATATTAATGAATAAAAAAATAGTACCACCATTATCTCCATTACAAAGTCCATTATATTTGTTATTTTCCTAAGGCCCGTTAAATTATTATATTTTCTTTCTGATATAATGGCCGGTATTTAAATATTTTCTTAGGCCATGCAGCTCCCAACATTTATACATTAAACCTTGCATGAAGAGTTTGTAGTTAATGAGTGCAATGTAGGTTAACAGCCATCTGATGTCAACTACAAATGGTTGCGATTTGTCATTCCTCTGTTCAAAGTCCTTCAAGCTCAGCATCAAACAGAAGGGGTGGTTTGAAGTTTCATGCAGAACCTTTACCGCGCAAATTTAGTACATTTCCATCCATAGAAGTCTTTTATGCTCATGCAAGTTTTGGATTGAGAGAGAGAGAACAATTGTTTTATTAACAATAACCGATGACTGGCATATGAGTTGAGAGAGATGGGGTGTGTGTGTGCACGTACGTGTTAGACTTTCAGTATTGTTGTGAACCGAGCAAGGCTCTTAACATGAAAGAGCCGCCGGAATAGTCACTAAAAAGAAGGGATGTGCAAGCCAAATACACAATTGTTTGATTATGATTGGTTGTTAGGGGGTACATGGGGATAAAAGTGGCACGGGATAATATTAGGGATAAGAGTTTGGGTTGGAACTTGGAACAAGCTAATGCTGCAGGAAGAAAAGTTCATTTTCTTTCAAGGGTAAAAATTGGAGAAGAGAATTGGGAGCTTCTGGGTTTCCATTGATTTAGTGCCATGCTCACAGGGCCTTGTGCTCTGGAAGCTGAGCACATTCAATTGCTAGGGGTGCTTGTTGTTTCCCAAAGCATTAAGGAAAACTCTCATCAGGATACCATCTGGACTCACAAGGCTAAAGAAAATCTCTCATATATTGGCTATGTGATTCATATGCAACTTTCATTTGTCTGCAACTGTTTCTATAAAATGTCTTCTTCTAGTTATTATGAGGATTGTTTAGTTACTCAATTTCGTCAAACAATTTGTTTGTTTCTAATTCTCATCTTTTCAGGCATGGAATGCAAATAACCTTGTTTTAGTGACAAACAAGAAAGGCAACATAAATTTTACTTGAGGGCGACTGCCATACATGATATCAACATTATCATTTGAGCCTTATCCCAACTATCTGGGGTCAGCTACTACCATAGATGATATATACATAAATATAGTGATCAAGGTTTTGGCAAAAGATTGAATGTTCCTTTAGGTATTGGATAACATTTCCATAGCAAGTGATGAATAACTTCATCCATTGCTTCGAAACACATAATCCCCCACTTCTTATTTAGGAAAACAAATGCAAGAGCTCCCCAGAAACCAACTGTAAAGCCCACTGCAATTAAACCATAGAGCACAAGTTTGTTCCCCTCCCATCCAGATTTTGCATCTTCATTGTCCTCATCTCCCTGAGGCATACTTGATACCTGATCATAGCATGCTTTCCCAGCGAAGCCACATAGTTTTGGGTTTCCAACATAGGAGCTTTCTCCAAAGGTTGATAGATGGCCATCAGTGGGTACCCTCCCTTCTATATCATTATCTGCGATAGAAAAGATGCCCAAAAATGTGAGCAGGCTTAATGAAGGAGGTAATCTACCTGTGAGCTTATTTTGAGAGAGATCCAATGCTTCGATATCCTGCAACTGAGAAAATGAGTTGGGAATGATGCCCGTGAGGTGATTATTTGAGATGTTCAATACAATGAGTCCTTTCAAGAGGCCCATTTCCATGGGTATGGAGCCACTGATTTGGTTCGAAGAAAGATCGATTCCTGTCAAAAGAGAGAGAATGAGTCCACTATATCCATATTCGTTGCCCTTGTCGAAATAAACCACCTCAACATAATTCCATTCGCCATTTTCAATTGGTAAATACGTTATTGTGGCTGATGTGCCATTTACCCAAGCAGAGTTATTGTTGAAGCAAGGAGGTATGGCGCCCTGCAAATTGTTTAGAGAAAGATCCAAAATGGCCAACTGTTGTAGCTCACACAACTCATGAGGAATGTTTCCTTCAAACTGGTTTTCTTTGAAGATCAGCACTTGCAAATTTGGTAGCTTCCCTATCTCTCTTGGGATTACCCCAGACAGATAATTATATCCAATGTTTAATACTGTCAAAGTGGGACTGTAAAGAAGTAAATTCTCTGGTACTGTTCCATGGAATGCATTGTGATCCAAATGTAAAGATTGTAGGTTTGGTAGATAGAAGTTCTGTGATAGCAGGGGTCCCTCTAAGTTGTTCCTAGACAACTTCAAATACCATATGGCTCTTCCACTAGTTAGATTTGTAGGTAAAGTTCCTGATAGATTGTTGTTTGACAAGTCTAAAGTTAATAACTTGTTGGAAAGGTTCAACGGTAATTTCCCGGACAGTTGGTTGAAAGATAAATCCAAACCAACCAAGGTGCCTGAACTGCCTATGGAAGAATCGATGCTACCCCGTAGGAAGTTGTGGGAGATGTTTAGGTTCGACAGACTGGGAAGATGAGCAAAGAAATCCTTTGGTATTTCTCCACTAATGTTGTTGATAGACAAATCCAAACGGGTAAGATTGGGTTGAACTATTGGTGAAGAAATTGATCCCCAGAGCATGTTCCCTCGCAAATAGCAATTCTCATTAACAGATTCGATCAGCCAAGTCGGAACAATTCCTGCCAATTTAGAGTACGAAAAATCTATGGTTTCTAGAATCCGTTGAGTGGAAAGGAACCCATCCACACTAAGGTTGAATTTACTCATGTCACAAAATGATAGTCGGAGTTCAGAAAGCTGGAAAGATGGGATGACATTCGTATCCAGGATGACCAACCTGGTATTTAGAGAAAGGTCCACATATCGAAGTTTAGAGAGATGTACAATAGTGGAAAATGAGAAGTTATTTGACAGGGAATTATTAGAGAGATACAATTCCGCCAAATTTTGAAGCTTACCAAGTTCTCTTGGGATGGGTCCTGAAAGGCGATTGCCACTGAGAGCCAGAACAGTAAGAGATGACCAATTACCGAAGGTTCGAGGTATGCTCCCTTGAAGTTGATTATTACTTAGATAAAGACCTTCAAGTGACAGCAAGCTACTCAAGAATGGCGGGATACTTCCTCTGAATTGATTACCCCTTAGATCGAGCACCCGAAGGTGAGAAAGGTTGCCCAAAGAAGAAGGTATGCTTCCACTGAGTCTATTTGTACCCAAGTCAAGGACTTGAAGGGAGGATAGCAAACCTATCTCCATCGGTAGTACACCTTCGAATGAATTCGCTCTTAAAACCAACCGTTGCAGGTTCCTCAGTCTCGAAAGCTCTGCCACAACAAGAACAGCTATGAGAAACCACTAGAATTATTTGAATTGAGGTTCATCCCAAGAAGGAAAAAAGAGAATTATGACAGATAAAAAAAGTTCTTACCTTTGATGGGCAATAAGCCTCCCATACTATTAGATACCAGACTAAGGGACCTTAATTGTTCTAGCCCAACAAAAAGAGTAGCATTCAGGTATCCTCCCCTTATCCCCTCTTCTTGAACAAAATCTAAGTTCAAAACAACAACATGAGATGTACGATTTTCGCACTCAACGCCAACCCAACTACAACAATATTGTCCTTGCCATGAACCCATGATATACATCGACGCCTTCGAGGTCTGATTGGGGTGAATGAAGAAGGCTTTGATGTCTAAAAGAATTTCTCTCTCTCTCTCTAGACATGAAGATGACCTTCGTAGGAACATGCAGAGTACGATCAGTATAAACATAAGGCATTTCCTGCAAGAGAAGCAAATCACCATGGCTATTTTTTTCTGGCTCCAAGTAAGATCAGTTTCTGAACCTGAAACTGTCAAAGGCTGTTTCACCTATATGTATTTATGATGGCTGATGAAGTGTGTGTCAACAAACCAAAAGGAACAGTGTCACCATTGTAATGTGGAGCTCCTCTGAATAAATTGGAGTAGGACATTGTCTTGCAAAAATCCGGGCTCCATGATTCAATTATTTGATGCAGAAGTATGGACTTTCTCAGAACTTCTTGTTGCGTATTGTATTGCTTTCAATTCACACACAAAGAGAGAGAGGTTTGAAGGAGTCAAGTCAGAGCACAGCAAGTCAAAAATGAGTAGTTGAAGCAATTAACAAATAATTGTGGGACATACTGATCTTGCCTGAAAGGAAATTTCCACCCAATTCTTTCCTGCATGATATAGACTAAGGGAGTGTCATATGGACCATTAAATGGAAATTCTACTATTTTTGTACTATTTCTCCACCTCTTTTTCCTGCCCCATTTGAAAATGCTGCAAAATTGGGCTTAAACAATTGTGTTTAAAATGCCCCATTTGAAAATGCTGCAAAATTGGGCTTAAACAATTGTG